CAAAAATGGACTTAGCATGAGCAGAAGATGAGACAGAAGACCATGGAGAATATTGTTTTTCACACAAGGCAGCTGACGGCTCCATATAAGGTCAGAGCAATGCGTGTTTGTTTACCCTGCGGAGCGTGGCTCGGTCTGTTTACATTCACACTGTACTCGAACCGCGCTGGAGTTTGCTTCTACCAGATCGAGACCTAGGTTTTAGCCCGGGTCAGAGTTCGATGGCGCGTTCACACCTCCCTAAACGAGCCGGACTTTCTAGGAAAATGAGCTAGAGTTCGATTAAAGCGGACTAAACAGGGCTAGTGTGAATGCACCCTTAGTCTCTCGGTTAGCCTGGGAACACTTTGGAGTCCCCCAGAACAGCTGGAAGAGGTGGCTGTGGAGAGAGACGTCTGGACCTCTCTGCTCAAGCTGCTGCCCCAACGACCTGACTTTGGAACAAGAGGAAGATGATGGATGGATGGATATTTACCTGATTCAGAATTACACTTAGTTACGTCATGCTGCCTTAAGCTTAGACTACTAGATGACAAATTGACCTCATTTCCTTAAATGAATTGCTAAAATTGAATAAAAAAAGAAACACAGCAATGAAGGCTACTAATGGTACAGATCTGGTTGGCAGGCCTCAGACTGACGAAGTCTTCTGGATGGAAGACGAAACATTTCTCCCTTAAAGAAACTGGTCCAGATGAAATGATTTAACCTTTTTTGTGGCTAATATTGATAGTTTTAATTTGAAACTATTTCTATCTTAACATGTGATTCTTGACCTGCCATTGTGTATCTGTTCCTATCAAACCCAGCCGGTCGAAGCAGATGGCCACTTGTCCTGAGTCTGGTTCTGCTAAAGGTTTCTTCATGAGGCAGTTTTTCCTTTCCATTGTTGCCTTCATGCTTGCTCAAGATGAGAGTTCTGTGATGGAGTTAAACTCAAAGCAGTCTGCTCCTCAGATAAATAATGTTAAATTATTTTTTTTATATGTAATGGTAAATGGACTGTACTTATATAGCGCCTTTCTATCTTATCAAGATACTCAAAGCTCTTTACACAACAATCTGTGTCCTCATTTACCGATTCATACAGCACTCTACTAGATCTATACAAAGCTAATTGAACAAATCATTCTAAAGAGACTAATCGGAACTTTTTCACATTCATACACTGATGGGACACACATCAGAGGCAACGAGGGGTTCAGTGTCTTGCCCAGGGACACTTTGACATGTGACTGCTGGTGGATTCGAACCCCCAACTCCTGCATTGGAGGACGACTGTTCTAACCACTCAGCCACAGCCGCCACATATATGTGAATGTTCCTGTTCAGTGCCCTGAGATAACTTCTTGTGACTTGGCACTAAATAAACTGAATTGAATTCATTTAGTAAGACTCTGAAGCAAACTAAGCAGAAACCCATCAGAACCATAGGGCTGGTGTTAATTGAAGGCTTCATTAACTCAGTGCCTTGTTAATGTGTGTGCTCTCAGCTGTTTTATGCATTGGCTCAGGTGCAGTGTTTCACATGTTCATGTTTGAATACAGTAGGTGAGTCACAGGCAAATTTGTCCTTGTTTCTTTCACTGTGGTAAAGCCATCCCTGGTCACACTTGGAAACGTTACTCTCGCCAAAATTCAGAGTGCTCTATTAACAACCTTTATGGCTGGGCGGTAGTTGTGCATGCACCGTTGCTTACTGTCAATAATTTGGCAGTCAGGGAGGAGAATAACTACAAAAAAGGCAATATTTCACCTAGACTTTGTTACTTTGACTCTACACTTTTAAAACACATTTCTCACCAAGATTGAGGAAAGTCAGCTGTGGGGGTTTAAAGACATTACAATTTTAATGTACTTTAACACGCATCTAAAAAAGTTAAATCTGGTCCTCTGGACATTAAAAAAAACAAACAAAACAAAAAAATTGTAGAAATGTTTCATTTTTCATCTGAAGGACTTATTCAGTCTGAGTTGCTGTATTCAGCTCAGTCTTATCAACAGTCTTAAAAACTCAGACTGAAGAAGTCATTCTGATGAGTGTTTCTACAATTTTTTTGTTTTGTTTTTTTGAATGTCCAGAGGACCAGATTTAACTATTTTAGATTTTTCTACCTGGATTATTGAGCATGGATCAGGATACTTTAATACGCAGCGTCACTCGGTGCTTCTTCTGTTCATGGGCAAATGAAAAAGTCAAACATATACAAAATAGATCTCTGCTAAAAGTCAATCTTCAGTTAATCAAACCTTCTCTTTTTCTCCATTCTCAGTCAGTGAGGTCAATAAACTGTTAAAAGATCTTGATCCTAAAAAATCTGCAGGTCCAGATGAACTTCCACCTTATTTCTTAAGGCTGGCTGCTCATATCATCACAGTCCCTGTGACCCACATCTTCAATCTCTCCATAAGACAAAACTCCATCCCAGACACTTGGAAAACAGCCTTTGTTCTTCCTTTGCTGAAGGGAGGTGACCCCACCTCACTGAACAACTATCGACCAATCTCTAAACTCTGCATTTTAGCCAAGGTTCTAGAAAAACTGATAAACTCTCAAATCAAAAATTACCTGGACTCATTTAATATCTTACCTCCACATCAATCTGGTTTCAGGAAACAACACAGCACAACCACTGCTTCACTGAAGGTTCTTAATGATGTTGTTGAAGCACTGGATGCTAAGGATTATTGTGCTGCACTTTTCTTAGACCTGTCTAAAGCTTTTGACACTGTGGATTCAATTCAATGCAGTTTATTTTTATATAGCGCCAAATCACAACAAAGTTGTCTCAGGGCACTTTACAGAAACATTCACATACATAAAAGCCAATTAGTAAAGTTCTCTATCTAAGGAATCCAGCAGACAAGATGAATCTTGGCTTTGTTGCAGTCTCCCATCCTGAGCAAGCACAGTGGCAACAGTGGAAAGAAAAACTCTTTTAAAAGGAAGAAACCTCCAGCAGAACCAGGCTCAGGACAAGCGGCCATCTGCTTTGACCGGCTGGTTGAGAGGACAGGAAGGAGAGACAGACGAACACAGAATGGTAGGTCCAGGTATAGGTCCAGGTGTATCTGAAAGACAAAAAACAAAACACATGTTAAGGATGAGGGTTTAAGGAAAAACTGGAAGACCCAACTCTTCCCTCCTTCCACTCAAATAAGATGTTGATGCATGTTGTTATATAGTGCGTTTAAAATGGGGGGATGAGGCGGCGACTGGCACAGGGCCACCCTCTCCCCAGAGAGCAGGCAGTGCCCGTTCTGTTTTGGAAATTCTAACCTTTTACTTTTAGAGTCAGAGTCAGAGATTCTTTATTGTCATTCGCACCTCATGTGGTACATGTGGTGGAGTGAAATTATGTACACAGGGTCCCAGGTTTTACTTAATACTCTTACTTTAAGTACATTTTATAAGAGAAATTTACTTTTGACACTTAAGTACATTAAATGTCCGATACTTTAAGACTATTACGTAAGTAATATTTTAAAGGAGACTTTAACTTTTACCAAAGTAATTTTATGGTAAGATACTTGTACTGTCACTGAAGTATCACTTTGAGGTACTTTATACAACACTGGTCTTAGGATCCACCCTCTTTACAATCTACATAGGTAATGTAGGTCAGAGCATCCCTGGTGCATCCTTACATATGCTGATGACACAGTTGTTTAATGTCGAGCTAAAACAGTTGCTAAGGTTTTCCAGCTTTTGCAATCTGCCTTTGACATCATCCAGACAGACTTGCTCCACCTCAAACTTGTCCAAAGGGATGCTTTTTTCAAAGAGGAAGTTGGTTCCAGCAGTTCTTCCTCTATCCTCAAATGGTGTCCGTATTGAGTTTGTCGATTCCTATAAATAGTTGGGTATATTGGTCGACTCGCATCTCTCTTTTAAGCTTCACGTGGAAAACCTTGTAAGGAAACTGAAAGTTAAACGGTTTCTTTTTCAGAAATAGATCTAGTCTAACTGTGAATGCTAGGAAACACCTTGTAACTGTGACTTTCCTTCCCTCCATTGATTACAGTGACATTATCTATATGAACGCCCTCACAATCACCCTGCAGATGCTGCCTATCATGGTGCATTAAGATTCATAAGTGACTGTAACTACCGTACCCACCATTGCACCCTGGATTCACTGGTTAACTGGACATCATTAACTCCAGAGACTCTCCCACTGGTACATTTTCATCTTTAAATATTGGCCTGTTGCCTTCATACATCTCCTCCTATATGTCTCTGCGCGAGTGCAGCTACAGCGTGCGCTCTCAGGACATTATTACCTGCAGTGTCCCCTCAGTGAGGACTGAACTAGACAAAAGGACCTTCTCCTACTCCACTAATTTCTTGGAATATCTTGCACAAAGATCTGAAGCTCTCGACCTTGTCCTCTCTAAGTGGTTTTAAACATCTGTTAAGTTCCTGGCAAAAACCTATGCAGACATGTTCCTGTTTTAGTTTTCTACACCACCTTACAACTTAGCTGTTTTTCACTACTTTTCCTTTTAACTATCATTTTATTTTCACTTGTAAAAAAAATGTGTACGCATCCTTTATGATTGTCTTTGTTGTTCATTGTTGTCATCACTCTGTTAAAATCAGGTCTCCCTTGTAAACGAGGCCCCGAGGCTCAATGGGACTAACCTGTATAAATAAAGGTTGGAAAAAACCAAAAACATTACTACTTTTTTTTTTTTTTACTTGTGTTCAAAACTACTTATTTAATTTATTACTATTAATTTAACTACTTATTTTATTTAAGGATGTTTCTCACAAAGTTGGAAGAAAATAAATCCTGGGATTTAAAAGAAATTTAAACTTTAATGCACGTCGTGAAACGTACCACGGCCCAGCTGTAAAGGTTGTTGTAATCGAGCACTCTTGATTGACAGACTGGTCCGGGGGGAGGGCTTTACCGCACTTTTCTTTTCGCGCTTCCTGACCGTTGCTGCGTAACGTAAGAACTTACGTATCCGTGACGTAGGCACGTTTCGGCCCGCTGGATCGGTTCGTAGGAAAGAGGCGGTACACCGGAAAGCTAACGGACAGCAACAAACCAGCGGTGATCAAAACTTGATTTCGGCGCCTGTGTCTGCGTAAACCTGCTGGATTTAACTCGGGCCGTCAGTAAGGACCTCACGAAGTGACCTTAGTGACCGCGAGCACTTTTTACCCGGGTTAATGCGAGCCAAGTAGTGAGCCGTTTCGGCCTGCTTCAGAGACGTCAAGCCCAACCGACGCTAAGCTAGCCGTGGAGCTACTTCTTTCCACAATTCAAATCAAAACAAGGTGAGGAGATGAAATTATCTGCATAAAGACGTCAGCGCACTGTAAAGAGTTCACAACTTGGAGCGCTGTGATGTTTTTAAAGCTCCCAGCGGGCTGCATGTTGTGTTAGCAGCTAAACTGTGGTGGCTAGCTTTAGCAGCCGTCTGCTGCTAAAGGAAAACATTACAGTAAAAACTGCCGAGGTTAGGGCGGAGCTCTGCCTTACAAAATAAACGTGTTAGTTTGTGTTACAATATATAATATTCAACTTTGGCCGTGCTTTAAATAGCAGGAGTTAAATTATCCCTGTAAACTAAGCTAACTAGTTAGCCGTGGAGTTTGTGCTGCAGCAGCTAGCAGCTTGTTTACATCCCGCTCAGAAAGAGTTCATCCACGCTGCTGAGGACGAGCTGCTCTGAACTCATGGACTCTACCAGGGTTCGGCTTTTGTTGTTGGATGAGGACGGCTTTCTTTCCGTTTCCCCCCAGAGCTTCATGTTTTGAGGAACGCTCATCTTCTCTGTTAACAGAGTTGGTTTAGATGTATTTGAGCTCACACAGTGTAGAACATGTGAGTGTAGAGCGAAATGTTGGTGAAACCGAGTAGTAGTCAGGTGTAGGGAGGTGTGGGTTGTTTCCCAAACTTCACTTCCTTTAGAGAAAGTGAAACAATCCGGATCTGCTGTTCACATTTCTGTTTTTACTTATTACCGGTAGACATACACGTTTCTTACCTGAAGGAGTCTGTTCCTCTCTCCATAAGCAATAAAAACCTCGTAAACAACTATTTGATTGTGAGACTGCATGTGCTCTGAGAAGTTGACTCCAAGCCACTGCCACAGTGAGTTTTAGCTAAATATCTATTTAATGGACTGAGAGTTATAGTCATTTTTGTTTGCTAAGGTTGATTGGCTGTAGCGTTGATTGATTCCTACAAGGAGTCCGTTGCAGTCTTATAATAATAATAATAATTTTATTTAAAAAGCGCCTTTCATGACACCCAAGGACACTTTACAGTAAGAACAAAGATCAACAGGAATAAAGAATATAAAATACATACAGCAAAGTTAAGGATAAGTGAGTCTAAAGAGATGTGTTTTCAGAGCAGTTTTGAATAGAGAAAGAGAGGTGGTGTTTCTTAAGTCAGGGGGTAGAGAGTTCCAGAGATGAGGGGCAGAGCAGGTGAAGGCCCTGCTCCCCATGGTGGAGGCGGGCAGAGGGTACATGGAGGTGTAGTGAAGAGGAGGATCTGAGAGAGCGAGAGGGGATGGAGATGTGTAGGAGGTCAGATAGGTACGGAGGGGAAAGGTTGTGGATAGTTTTGAAAGTGAGAAGAAGAATTTTGAAGATGATGCGTGATTTAACCAGGAGCCAGTGGAGCTGCTGCAGGACAGGAGTGATGTGGTTATAGGAGGAGGTTTGAGTGATGACACAGGCAGCTGAGTTCTGGACCAATTGCAGCTTCTTTAGAGATTTGTTGGGGAGGCCATAAAGAAGGGAGTTGCAGTAGTCAATCCGAGAAGTCACAAGACTGTGAACAAGGATGGCTGTGGAGCGGGGTGTGAGAGAAGGGCGGAGACGGTTAATATTTCGGAGATGGAAATAGGCAGACCGAGTGACATTGTTGATGTGTGAAGTGAAGGAGAGAGTGGTGTCGAGGGGGACAGCAGAGTTGTTAAGGGGGATGAGAAGATTTTCTGATTTTGAAAGAGAGTTTTTGGTACCGACAAGAATGATTTCTGTTTTGTTACTGTTTAGTTGTAGAAAATTGTTAGAAAACCAGTGATTTAGCTCATTTAGACAGTCGGTGAGGATTGAGGGTGGGTGGGTGGAGTTTGGATTTGTTGACAAGTAGAGCTGTGTGTCATCAGCATAACAATGAAAATGGACACCAAATTTATGGAAGATTTGACCTAGAGGAAGGAGTTAAATGATGAAGAGGAGGGGTCCGAGGACAGAGCCTTGGGGGACACCCGTGGAGACGGGGGAAGACTGGGAACGAAAGGATTTGAGCTGAATGAATTGGGTGCGGTCAGAGAGATATGATTTGAACCAGTCTAACGGAGTACCTGAGATAGAGATAGTCTTATTACTGTTTATCTTAGTTCCTATCTTAGATCTTATTACCGTTTTTCTTTTACATTTTATACTTTTGTTGGATGTAATTGGGATCCTGTGTACACAATATTGTTCCACCACATGTGGTGGAAACAAAGAACCTTGAATCCTTGTAGATGTACATCTAGTGATTTCTGTAGCTGTTTTTTTCTCCTCGCTACTTTTCTTTTTGACTGTCCTTTTGGTTGCTATTTTGTTTTGATTTAACCAAAAAAAGAAAATTAAATTTGTATGCCTCTTTTGTGACTGTCTGTTGTTGTTGTTGTTGTTGTTGTTGTTGTTGTCATCACTCTTTATTAAAGAAATCAGGTCTCTCTTGTAAATGAGTCCCCGAGGCTCAATGGGATTAACTTGCCTAAATAAAGGATGAATGAATGAAACTTTCTGGAAGTTTCATTAAAATTAGTGTTGGTATATGAGCTATTTGGCAAACAGAAGAAAAAAACCTCCTTTAGTGATGGGCAGTAAAACATAGTTTTTTATAAAACATGGTGAAATTGTTTTTATTTTCAGTGTTAAAATACAAAGTTGTGTGCCAGATTTTAAATTATATATTGAACATTTCTTGTGGTGTTCCTCAAAGCTCAGTATTGGGGCCCCTCTTACAAGATAACCTTAAAGTCCCAAAACATTTAAAGTATACTGTTTGCAAATGACACACATCTGTTTTGTTTTGGAAATCATTTAACTCAGCTGTTGCAGGTCATGAAGAAAAACTTAGCAAAAAAATTGTTTGTTGCTAATAAATTAACTAAATCTATGCAAAACAAATTCTAGGTAACCTTTTCAATTAACCAGGATTTTCTAACTTTCGTTTGATTGTTTTGAACCACGATGTTCAGTAGGCAGGGCGCTCGGTTCTGTTGAAGGGCGGGGCGCCCTCCTTGTATAATGGAAGGAGAAACACTGAAAACTTTATTAGTAAATCGCACTGGTCCAGCCGAACACAACACTGTGGATAATGTGTTTCCATCTGACCTTGTTGGTTTCAGTGCCTACAGCAGATCCAGATCAGCAGCTGTCAGGGGTACTGGTGTTTGTCCTCACTTGTCACAGGTTTTGTAGGAAGGTGCTTCTCAAGCGATTATTGTCTCCTGTCCCAGAGCGAGAAGTGGGAATTGGAAATCCCCTCAGTCTATCTGAGCATGTTGTGAGCATGATAACTGACAGTAAGTGAGGTACCAGCTGACATTTTGATGTGAGGCTGCATCTAGGCATTAGGAAGTTTTTCTTTTGGTAGAGTTTACATGTTCTCCCATGTTCTCCTGTGCAAACATGGGTGTTCTCCAAGTTCTCCGGCTTCCGCCCGCAGACCCAAAACACATGTTAGGTTCACTTATAATTATGTGAGTGAGAGTTGTTTTGTCTTTATTGCCTTTTATGCATCGTAAAACCCAGTCCGGCCTGGGCTGGTTACAAGTGGCCCAGCTCTGGTCTTCCCTGGCTCCGTCACGGCAAGACTGCGCAAATCAGTCAATCAACCTTTATTTATACAGGTAAATCCCATTGAGCCTCGAGGACTCATTTACAAGAGAGACCTGATTTCAACAAAGAAAGATGACAACAATGGACAACAGCAACAACAATAAACAGTTATAAAAACTCATACTACAGTTTTTTTTTGTTTTTTTTTTAACAAATAGGATGGCTAAAAGGAAAAAGGTAACAAAACAAAAAAAACAGCTAGATTCCAAGACAAATGTATAAAACTAAAAACAGGAACATGTCTGCATTGGTCCCTGCCAGGAGTCCAACAGATTCTTAAAGCCACTTAGAGAGGTCAAGGTCGAGAGCTTCAAATCTTTTTGTAAGATATTCCAGGAGACAGGAGCGGAGTAGGAGAAGGTCCTTTTGCCTAGTTCAGTCCTCACTGAGGGAACACTGCAGGTAATAATGTCCTGAGAGCGCACTCCGTAGCTGCACTCACGCAGAGACATGTAGGAGGAGATGTATGAAGGCAGCAGACCAAGAAGTGATTTAAAGATGAAAATGTACCAGTGAGAGAGTCTGCGTGAAGTTAATGATGTCCAGTTAACCAGTGAATACAGGGTGGAGTGGTGGGTACGATAATCACAGCCAGTTATGAATCTTAGTGCACCATGATAGACAGCATCCAACATCTGCAGGGTTCTTGTAGGAGCGTTCATGTAAATAATATCACCAAAATCAATTGAGGGAAGGAAAGTCACAGATACAAGGCGTTTTCTAGCATTCAGGGTTAGACAGGATCTGTTTCTGAAAAAGAAACCCAGTTTAACTTTCAGTTTCTTTACCAAGTTTTCCACATGGAGCTTAAAAGAAAGATGTGAGTCGACCAAGATACCCAAATATTTATAGGAATCAACAAACTCAATGGGGACACCATTTGAGGATAAAATCGGAGGAAGAACTGCTGGGACCAACTTCCTATTTGAAAAAAGCATCCCTTTGGTTTTTTCGGCATTTAGGACAAGTTGCCTGAGGTGAAACAAATCAGTCTGGATGTAGTTAAATGCAGATTTCAGAAGCTGGAAAGCCTTAGCAACTGTTTTAGCTCGACAATAAACAACTGTGTCGTCAGCATAGAAATGTATGGATGCATTAGGGATGTTTTTACCTACATTATGTATGTAGATTGTAAAGAGGGTGGGTCCTAAGACTGAGCCTTGTGGTACACCATTGTTGACTGTTAAATAACTGGAGGAAGTAAGAGGATGTCAGCGATAGCTGCATCTCGTCGTTTGTCCAGGGCACTGGTGCTATCGTTTGCAATTTTTTTACTTTCTAAAGAAAAATAGGAGCTCTATCCCACAACTGGCCAGAAACCAGTAGCTGAAGTAAGTGACTGTAAGGTGCGGTCGCTCGAGTAGACTCATCTGTGACATGAGCTCCCGATCAATGACCAGCCGTCTGCTCACATCAAATCTGCTGCATCGGCCCGAATGGAACCCCAGGTCTCTGAGTTCCAAAGATGGAGCTGGAACTGAGCCAGACTGCCCAATGCCAACACTTGGAACCCGGGTCGGGCCAGTCCAGGCTGGGCCGGGGCCTCACAGTGCATAAGGGCTGTTTGTGTCCCTGTGATGGACTGGAGACATGTCCAGGGTGTCCCCCACCTCGCACACAGGAACTGGAGGTAGACTCCAGCTCACCACGACCTGGAAAGGAGAAAGTGTGTAAACGAGGACGTCTCTTTGATTTGAAGTGTAATAAACTGATATTAGATCTTGATTTTTCTGCATTTGTGTCTGAAAATCAATAAGCCCAGTTTTTATTAGATTTGCTGATTGAAGATGTTTGTACTTTATTATGTGACAGACTTAGTATAAACTTGTGCAGTTTAGTGTCATGAACACCAGCAGGTATTAACTAACGTATATTAAACTCACACAGCTCGCCTGTCGAAGGCGGCTGGATTATGGTGAAGTCCCACAACTTCTGCTCCGCTCAACATAATTTAATGAAACTCCGTACACATGCATCATCATTAGACGGAGAGTTGCATAGACTTCATCACACCAGCTCTAAGGTCAAGGTCAAATGTTGTACAAGGTCATTGCTTGTCTGGGCCATTGCTATACATTGCCGTATAATAGTTTGTTGAGGGGCGTATAATGTGCTCTATGTGGAACTCTCGCTTCTTGAATGTGACAAAATGTTTTTGTTGTTTTGAATATGCTCCACGGTTCACAACGTGCTTGGTTTGCTTTGTTTTTGGACTGATCAGCATATTTTGTGTCAAGCACGGAGCAGAAGGCCTGAACAGTGTAAAGGAAGAGCACGCAGAGCCACAGTTGTTGAGCAGCTAACAGTCAGAAAGGGTGTGCAGTCCTGCCCTGGGAGCGGCCTCAGCTGGGTTCTGTTGGCCCGTTTGTCCCTGACCTGCTGAATGTTCCTGTTTTTGGCAGGAATGAGTGATGACCTCTGTGGTGGTGTCAGATGGAGGAGGGAACATAGTGGAGTACGTGACTGTGGTGGACGAGTCCCAGCAGGTAAGACGTTCAATCCCATAATCACCAATAATTAGATGAAGCTCATTTTATTGTGTTTATTGCACTGCAGTAATGGTGAACTGACTGTACTGATTCAAATGTTATGGAGTAAATAAATAACACGAGCACTTTGGAAGAACAGTTCCAGCACAGCCTCCAACAGAGCTGTGATCATCTAAACTCTGAACCAACACCAACGTTCTCATGTCTGAACTGTACAAGCAGCTGCCAATGGCTCAGTGTGGTCACCATGGTAACCACACACCTGTGTCTGTCACTCCCTGACTGCCAGGTTAACGAGAGGCAGACAGAAAGAAACCGTCTCAGACTGAAAATGAAAAGTCAGAGCTTCAACGTTCTTTGACTGAGCAGCAGAAACTTTAATCATTTTCATCACATGTTCCTGCATGATGACCATGACCATGTTCAGACACAATGTTTTGAGCTCAAATATGACGAAGTCTGCAGGTGCTCAGTGTTCTCTGCATTCTAGGTGGATCTGACAGAAAACTGCAGGTCCATGTGGATCTTTTCATGACAGGCTGAATGTGACTAATCTGATTTTACTCTTAATCTGACCCGGCTCTTATTCCTGTGCGGTACTGAATGTTTCATGTTGCATTTTATCATATGTTTCCATTAGCTAGGTCGGGGTGAGCAGATCGATACCAACGTTGTTCAGTTTCAATCTTGGAACTCCGCTCATGTTTGGCTACAGAACAAAAGTCCAGTTGCTTCGTTTTGTTCTTTTAATTTCCCACGTCCTGGATGACTGACAATCTACAGTAGCATCTGAAACTAACGTTAGCGTCGGGCCGTATCGATGCTAACCAGATGGGATTGGTTCTCGAGTTAGTTTCTACCTTCGTTAAGTCGCTCCGGCTCAGAAAACACAACGCTGCTCCGGAGGTGAGGCATAGATTAAATGTAAACACAGTCTGGACCACACGAGCAGGTCACATAAGAACCTCAGAATCACACATGCTAACATCTGTAGCATCCATGTTTAGGTCCTTAAACACAGCATGCTGCGTGTGACGTCGTGTCTTCTTTCTCAGAACTGTAACGGGTCACACTGGAGTCAGATGGAGGTCAGTGAACGATCAAACTGAAAGACCTGACTGAACGTTAACACCTGCAGCGTGCACGTAGTCTCAGTCCTCCAGAAGGACGGACACTGAGGGACAGGCGCATCATTTCATGTATCAAAACAGAAAAGTTAGCAAAATATTTGAAGCTCAAAATGAGCTGAACACTGAAAAAAATCCTCAAACTGTGACTGAGTCAAAACTGATGAAAACAAATTAAAGTCCAACGTTCTGACCCGTTTGAACTTTGAGTGACATCTCTGCTGCAGTTTTTTCATGCATGGTTTGTGATTTCTTTCTGCACTGAGTGACTTGTTGCTGCCGACAGTCACAAGTGTCCGTGAAGCTGCACAGCTTGGATCATTTTCACCTCGTATTGAACGCTGCACGTCCACATATGAGACAAGATGTTTACAGAGTTGTAACAAGTCTGCTTTGATTTGATTTTCTGACCACTTTGTGTCAGACAAACTTTAACATTTGCAGCCCAGTTTTTAAGGGTCCGGTCCAATCATTTGGACCTTCAGGTTTTGAACTTCCAAACTGAACCTTTGATGAGATCAGCTTGCGCCTAATTTTTTGTCTGTGTCTGACAGGAGCCCACTGAGGAGGAGGAGGAGCAGGAAGAGGTTGTCCAGCAGGATATGGAGACTGTAATCATGGAAGAGGAGGTGGAGGAGGAAGAGGAGGGGGTGGTGCTGCAGGAGGAAGGCTGTCCTGCTGTCATCGTGGAGGAGGTGCCCAGCGCCCAGGTGGAGGAGTGCTACTCGGCCCAGGTGCTGGTGTACGACGACGGGACGTACCTGATGCAGGACGTGGCTGAGGAGCAGGAGGTGGTCACAGAGGTGGTGGAGACAGGTGAGACTGATGGAGCCCGCCCCCTGTTGGCAGGAACGAGGCTCAGCACCAGATTACAGGAAATGGGAAGGGAGGCTCAGCCTGCCCCTGAACACCAAAACAAGGAAGTCCACAAGAAGTGAAGTGTTTCTGAGCAGGAGAAGCTGATGTTAGATGGTCTGATGTGAGTGTGTGCTGACACGTTTAAAGCTTCTCACTGGGTTGTGTGTGCAGGTCCAGACATGATGTGTTTCGACAAGACGTTTGAGGCAGCTGAGGCTCTCCTCCACATGGAGTCTCCAGGAGGTCTGCACAGTGAACGCAGCTCAGGTGAGCCCGGCAGCTCTCTGACACCGGGACATGCTAACAGGACTTCTGAGTCCAGCTCGGTCTTGTGCCTACAGACCTCAGGTCTTCAGGAATGTTTAACAACAAGCTGAGCTATGTTAGTTTAATCAAATGAATTTGTCAACAATGAGATAATATTACTACCAATGTAATGATTTATCCCACCCAAAAACTTTCTATGTTGTAGTTTTTGAGGTTAGCTAAATACAACATTGAGCTTGGCCCCGCCCCCTGAGCCCACCGAGCCACTGTAGATCAGACTGCAGATGAAGTCGGACATAACACTGTGCCGGCCTGCTAGATCACAGCAACATAACATAAGACAGAACTTTATCTCCACACATTTGATTAGTCTCTGTCAGAAAACAGACGTCTGTGAAAGGGTTAGCTCTGCTGCTACATGAGTTAATGTCTTAAAATAATGGACATTTAAATTCTGCTTGGCTCTGGACAGATTGTGTTCAGATTACCGTAATGTTCGGACTATTGAGTACACCTGAATATAAGCCGCACCCACTAACTTTAAAAAGAAAAAATATATTTGTGTGTGTGTGTGTGTGTGTGTGTGTATATATATATATATATATATACATATATATACACACACACACATATACATATATACACATATATACAAACCGGATTCCAAAAAAGTTGGGACACTAAACAAATTGTGAATAAAAACTGAGTGCAATGATGTGGAGATGGCAAATGTCAATATTTTATTCGTAATATAACATAGATGACAGATCAAAAGTTTAATCTGAGTAAATGTAACATTTTTTAAAGTCGGACAGTTTCATTGGTCTGATGTGACGAGGCTGAATGTTTTGGCCACATGAAGCTCGTTGGGCCGTAAACATCCATACATTAGCTGCATCTTTGTTTAAGTGTTGGAGCGTGTGAATAAAGTAGCAGCTTATTGTCTGGACATTACAGTAACTGATAACGGTGGTCTGAGTGAAAACACTTTCACTGCACACTAAATTTATATTTCTTCAATCTGATCTCTAAAGACAAGGTTTGAGTAAAGATCCTGTGACTAAACGTGCACACACATGTTTTCATGTCAAACTGTTTGCCGTGTGGTTTTATTCTAATTTCCTGTCACTCTGAAAATTTATAGTTTTGATAAATCTGAAAAAAATGTTTGGAATTAGCAGAAAGAAAAAACTTGCAGGCTTCATTCAGCTTTTTGTGCTACTTTGAGCTTCTAAATAATTTTAGCTTATTTCCTGCTACTTTGTATGTAATTTGGTCTTTTTTGCTGCTTTCAGCTTGTTTGTGATGCTTTTAGCTTGTTTTTGCTGAGTCAAGCTATTTTCAGTTTTGCAGTAATTTTTCTGCTGTTGACTCATTTTCGTGCTCCTTTCATCTGTTTGTGTATTTGAAGTGAGCTTTGGCTGGTCCAGCAGTATTTAATCATTCACGCTGCCTTGTGGCAGGAAACACCCGTCTCTGGTTTCTTGTAACATTCTGAGCTCCAGCAGATGAAGACGTGCGTTTTGTCTCTGCAGCGGAGGACGTGATGATGGAGACGGTGGTGGAGGTGTCCACAGAGTGCGGACCCATCGAGGAGGAGTCCTTCCCCATCCCTCCTGACTGTGAACCTGTCGCCAAGAAGAAGAGAGGAGGTCAGCAGAGTTCTGCAGCTTTTATCATTGACTTTGAACGTTGAAGTTTTCTCTGTAACCTCCACTGACGCAGTAAAGTCTGAACTGTGCAGGTGTGGGCCGTTCTTTATTAAAACCCACCGGTAGGTTCTCTCTTCATCTCTAAGATATCTAGCAACATTAAGCTTGTGAAGCCTGATTTCACACTCAGAAGCACTTCCTGTCCAGAGGGTCTGAGCCAGTCACAAGTGAGGATCTGCCTCTGATTGGTCCTGGCCGTCCAAGGAGCACTTTGAGTGTGAGCTGAATCAAAGACGAGGACCAAGGAAAATGATTAGTAGCTCTCGACAGAATCTAGAGCCGTGCTTTTAACAGGGTCTGTGCTTTGGATTTGTTGACGTTCCTCAGGAAGCTGTAGGCCACAAGTTCAGCTCAGATCAAACTGCTGCTCAGCACGCACAGAAGAAGAGCGGGAGCCTCGTGCACGAACAGTGCAAACGGTGCCAGGTCCCACCGCACATCTGGATGTTAGAAAAGGAACGTTGGTTGAAAGTGGGCTCACCTCCACACTAAACTTTTCAGTCAGTGATATCAAACCAAAACTTCCCAACACTCAAATTTATAACTGGTTTTTATGTAAGGAGCATGAAACACAACGTTTTCTCATGAGTTTGAACATTTATGGTTTAAATGTGAACGATGAGCTGAACTACTTCTAGCTCCATAATTCAGCTCAAAAATAAAAAACAACATTAGTCCATGTCACTGTTGTTTCTTTTATGTTAACACCCATCGTTGATGCTTGTGAGGCTCAGAAAATGATGAAACTTCTCTAATTCATTTCTGTCGGTGTGAAATCAGCAGATTGATTCAGGTCACCTGGGGTCAGCAAGGTGACACATGGCTGCGTGTACTGGAGGACATCACCGCTTATGATCTGGTTTAGAGGCCCGGGCCGTTCCGTTGGACCTCTGTGCTGAACTGGCCCCAGCATTACAGTAGGAGACTGGGAGGAGCCGTGCACTGGTTCCAGTCCTCAGTCTGGAGTTCCGTTACATCTGGAGCTTTCAGAGGGAGCTGGCCGACAGGGCGGGTATTTCACAGTCCTTCCTGAGCCGTCCCAGCTGGATGGGAGATGTTAAATTCCTCTTTGTGGAGGCTGAAGGGCTCCGTCCATGTTCACATCAGCTTTGCTGTCAAGTGTCAGGCAAGAAGAAGTGCTGTGCTGACACTGAACACCCCCCACTCCCGGACAACTGCCAGCACTGACGTTGCGCTAAGCTAGCTTTTTAGCAGCGTGCGCCGTCATTCCCCGATCTGTTACGGAAGCACGATCCAGCGATCCATAGTGTAGCTCATGTGCTAAAAGGAAAACTTCTGGGTCGCACGGATCGCCGTTAATTTATTTAGAAAAGTACGATGTTCATGTTGCTAACTTACGCCACTCGTATTTCTGTTCAAATCATTGACATATTGACCTCATGGTTAAAGTATGTGATGGGCTGAATGAGAAAACCCTGCAAGATCCAGAATGAATGGTTCCCATGGTGAAACGGCGCCGCTCAGTGGTGAAGCTGCACATCATTTTAACCATGACGTCAATATGTCACTGATTTGAACAGAAATACGAGTGGCGTAAGTTAGCAACATGAAGATCGTACTTTTCTAAATAAATTAACGGCGATCTGTGCGACCTGGAAGTTTTACTTTAAGCGCATGCGCAGATAAGCTGACACTGGATCGGCTTCGTAACAGATCGGAGAATGACAAGCGCGATACAGATGTGCTAGCTACAGAGGTAGCACTCGGCTTCCCTCACGTTGACCCGAGCCGTTTCCTTTAAACCCCGCCCCCCTGCCCGCGCCTCAGTTGACACTGTGTGGAGAAACTGCCACTGCAACACAGACGTGTCCCCCCCCACCACACACACACACACACACACACACACACACATCAACAAAAATCTCTGAAAAGACGAGCGCTCTGCCAAGGCAAGTTACTTAGAGGAAACACTGATCTGGATCCTGCTGCGTTAAAGTCGGGGGGGTTGCTGTGAATTTATTCTCATTTATTCTCACTTGTTTATTTATTTGTTCATGGGAGAAATCAGGCCCGTCCAAGCTGCAGCTGCTGGTCTCTGTTCCACGTAAACTGGGATGTATGAAGGGAGCGTGCACAGAAACGTGCTCAATGTTTTTGTGCGTACACATTTTCTCATTTTTGTCCGTATGCCAACTTTCAGCGTGAAAGCTGCACTCTTTCATACCTGAGGCTCCAGGTGCTCCAGGTGCTGAGGGATGTCGGACAGTAAAGTGTCAATCAAAATGTGGATCTTCTGTGATGCTGTTAGATGAGACGGGCTGGAAAAGACCAAGATAAAGAACTCACAAACACAAGCGGTGCACAGAAACGTGTCAGTCTGTCAGTGGGCCAGTAACAATCTTTGTGTGTGTGTGTGTGTGTGCGTGTGTGTGTGTGTGTGTGTGTGTGTGTGTGCGCGCGCGCAGGTGGACGTAAACCCAAAACCCATCAGCCTGCCTCCAACGGCTCCTTTGATCTTGGCATCAAGAAGAGGCCGAGGGAGGGAAAGGGTCAGTCCTGATCAGTCCATGTGTCTGTGGGCAGATGTTCAGTCCGCAGTGTGTCATGGTGCTGTTCTGTGTGTGTGTGTGTGTGTGTGTGTGTGTGTGTGTGTGTGTGTGTGT